AACAATGAATGCTGTTTTCCTTTAGCCATAGGGAGTTTTAAAGCTTGATAAATCTATTCAGCTTTCAAAGCATTCCACATTCCCCACCCACAAGCAAATGCCAGAAGGTGCCAGTTTGAGCCAATTCTGAGCTCAGGAATGATTTTCTCAATACTAGATCAGATTTCTTCAATGTCCATACTCCACAAACAGATGCTTACCATTGTTCTAATGGGTCTGATGAAAACTGCTTAGCAACTTATCAAGCTACTAATGTAAAAAGAACATTTCAGCAAGAGATGAGGTAGTGAGACACAAATGCAGGAACAGAAAATGACGGGCCTTACTACTTTAAAGGGACTGAAAATCACTGCCTTACCATCTTTGAAATTTAGAGTTAGGCTGTGTATAGGCTCAGTTTAATGGACTTTCTCTGGGGAAAAATGCTTCCAGTTACATAAAGAAAGTAATTTCCTTATTTTTCAGGAACTAATTTTTTTGGAGAGGATAAAGAAAATAGTGTTTAATAAACTCATTCACTGAACTAACTTTTTTGGAAGCATGCCCTTTGCCTACACCATGCTAGACACAGATACAAAAATGAAAAAGACATGTATCTTGTCCAGACTTTAGTAGTAGAGAAAGAAAGTAGTAGTAGAGAAAGAAAAACAAAGAAATGGTGTAACAACAAAAGAATGTATAGGAAATTAGAAGTGAGAAAGTGAGAAGTGAGGACAGAGGGAGGAACAGAAACTGTGTCTCAAGATTTGGGGCTTAAATTTGGGAGTGATGCAGAGCCATTAAACAGAAGTGATGATCAGATTTAATTTTTAGAAGGATCATGCTGTTGTCAGTGTGAAGGTTGGGTTGCAGTGGGGAGATCAAAGGCAGGATCAGCTCCAATCTTCATAAAAAGCATTCCAGAGCATTCTGATACCTCCCTGGCTGTTCTCTACTTCACTTCCTCTTGTCCCCCAGACATAAGATTTATAATCTTTAAAATGCTATTTACTTTCCACATACTTTAGGTTTTCCCAGATAACTGTTATCGACTTCTAATTTATTTCCATTTACTTCGTATGACTTGAATCCTTTTATTGTTATGGAGACTTGCTTTTTGGCCCAGAATGTGGTCATCTTAATACATGTTCCACATGCTCTTGAAAAGAATGTGTATTCTACCATGGATGGGTATCGCTCTGTTCTATGTCACGTTCATCAAATTGGTTGATAGTTTTTGTTCAAGTCTTCTATATCCTTACTGTTTAGATTTTTTTTTCTCTTAAGTCATTCATTAAAATTGAGCCTATGCATAATCTAGCTCTAAAATTTGTGTCTTCTTGTTCTAACATGGAAAGAAGTTTTCAAATCTCCAATTATAATTACAGATTTGTTAATTTCTCCTTATAGTTTTATCAGTTTTTACTTCAAGAATTTTGAAGCTGTTATGTAAACAAGTGTTTAGGATTTTTGTGTCTTCTTGCTGAATTGACCCTTTATTTGGCATTATGCAATATTCTTTATCTTTGGTAATAGTCTTCGCTGGGAAACCTCCTTTGTCTGATATTAATATAGCCACTCTTGCTTTCTTTTGATTAGTGTTAGTATGGTGTATCTTTTTCTACCTTTTTAATCTGTTTGCCCTTTATTTTCAACATATGCTTTTTGTTGGCAGCATATAGTTGGATCTTATTTTTTTATCCAATCTAGACAATCTCTGCCTTTTAGTTGGGGTATTTAAAATATTTAACTTTTCAAAAGATAATTGACTGTTTAAGCAAAAATAATAACAAAGTGTGGAGCTTATACTAATGCAGAAGTAAAACATGAGGCCACAACAGCACAAAGGCAAGAAGAGACAAATGAGTTTTTCATTGTAAGCTTCTTAAACCATATGTCAAGTACTGTATCACTTGAATGTAGACAGGTATGTTAAAGATGTACATACTATAATTCTAAAGTAATCACTGAAATAAAACAGAGTTGTAACTAATAAACCAACAAAAGAGATAAAATGCAATCATAAAAAATACTCAATCCAAAAGAAAGCAGAAAAGGAAGAAAACGAGAACAAAGAAAAAATGGAAACAGCAAGATGATATATTTAACATAAACATATCAACAATCACATTAAATGCAAAAGCTCCAAACACCTTGATTAAAAGGTAATGATTGTCAGATTGGGTAAAAGCAGGTATAAAACCACTCATCAGGTACTGAGCTAAGTACATTACACAGTCTCATGAAATCCTCCTTAACAAGCACGATGTTATCATCATGCCCTCATTTCAAATATTTAAAAAACGAGCCTCAGGGAAGTTAATGACTTCTCCAAGTAGCAGAGCAGGGCACTGCAGAGCACTAAAAAGCATATAATACTTGCTTCATTCCCCTCCCTCCATTTCCACGGCACTGAGTACCTGTTTCCACAGGTACTCAGAAGTTGCCACATGACAACTTCTATAACTGCTTGAGATGAAATCCAGTTTAACCATCTGAGTGACCATGGTCGGTGTACTGCATACACTTACTTAAATCTCTAGTTTCCTCATCTGTAAAATGGAACTAAGAATACCTGCCTCATAGTGTTTTTGTGATGAAAGATTCAGAAAGTTCAGTGGGTAGTGTGTGTTAAATGGGGGTGGTTAACTGTTTTTGTTACTTTTAGCTGTACCCTGAAGATCACACAAGAAATATCAATTTGTACAATTCCATGTCAATACCGAACAGTGTTAAGAGAAATGTGATGTTCACTATCTTCTTCTTTGACTTGCAGCATTACAGAAACAGACCATAGTGGTAACTGTCTCATTTCTAATTTTCAGCATTATATGAAGTTCAGGTTTCCTCTTTGAGAATTTAGCAATGCAATGAATCAGTCTTCTTCTAGAGAAACCTTTCAACTCAACTGTTATATTTATGAATTAATTTTTTCCCTTGGAGTAAAAATGTCACTCTTATTTGTTTTCTAGATTGAAGGGTTTAGATTTCTTACACTTTCATATTGTATACCTATACTGGCGACCTGGAAGGAATAACTTCAGCTTAGGTTGTATTATTATAGTAGTAACTAAGAAAAAAGAATTCGCCCAAGCATTATCTTATATCTGCTATTTTAATATATAAATTAAAAAAATCAGAATACAATCTTGGGAGTTAATAGACAAAACCAAACAAACAAACGAACAAAAAAACACACCACATATGATTCCAGCATCATATAGAACCTTTAAATATATTTTCTTTCAAAAGAGAAAGATTTTATCAGTATTTTATCAGTAAAATAAAAGTTGTTTAGATACACCATGATTGTCAGCTAAGAAGGAAGCCAATCAGACGTTCAATATAGCACTGCTTTTCTGAGCAAATAACTGAAAGAGACAAAATTTCAGATATTTTATTCAAAATTCTCCATCTAGGAGGAAAGACATATAACAATGTGCACACATGCTTCAATAACTTATTTCACTGTACAACTTGCATCCCAAACAACAGTACAATAAATGAGCAAAAGAAAATAATTAGCACTTAAATATTCTAGCAAGTAAACAGCACTGACTACAGGGTTCAACAAGGTGGTATCTGTACACTGTTTCATGACTGAGCCATAGCATCCCTCATCAGGTTCAGTGTGTGTCTAAAAATTCTACACCTTTCCTATTAGTGATGTGAAAGGTTGGTAGGACCTATGTTGGTTCTGGTGAAATTCGGTGGGCAAGGGTGGAGGGGCTCTATCACTTTTCTCCCTTTCTTATACATATCTTTCCCTTTTATGTTACTTCCACAGTTTTAAATAAAATATCTTTTATGCTTGTGTATATTGTTTTGTCAATACTGTTTTAGCACAGAATTAGGTTAATTGGGTATTTTATAGCTAGCACAATGGTCCAAACACAGGAAGGAAACAAAAGAAATTGACCACTTAGTTCTGCCAAAGTAGCACCTAGTGAAACAGCAGGTCAGTAAAGTTTCTCCTGCTAGTCCTTGTATGATGAAGGCAAAGAGACATGGCAACAACTCCAAAAACATGGGCAGAAATTTAAGGAAGATGATATTATTCTCGTTCTTGAAAAGAAATCTTACTGGTGAGTATTTTTCTATTCCATTTAATAATCTGAGTTATAATGATTACTAAATCAGAGCAAGACTATACAAGAGGAAAACAAGATAAAAATGAGTGACTAGGGAAATCTGAACTTCTTCCAAGTGATTACATTTTCCAAGGGAAAAAAAAAGGCACAGGAGGTACACATTTCAGTTTGGTTCAAAAATAATGCAAAGTAACTGGAAAAGTTGGCAATAACTATGGAAACATTAAAATCCAATTCTCTGTATTTTCTGTGACAGAGCTCAACAAACAAACAGAAAAAAAACACCCTGACTGTGGTTCACCATCATCGGGACTATACACAGTGCCTGACGTTTCTACCTAGACTGAATGCCGAGGAGTACGTCTGCAAAGTAGGATGTTAAAATTGATTTCAATAACATGTATGCTTGAGCAATCTTTTCTTTCTAAAACTTAATCTATGTTCAAGCTACCTTCCTTCTGTGGAGCTGAAAGAATCTAAATACTCTGGTTTTTAGCTGATTGTAAAGGTACTACAGTAATCCCACATACCAAGGAACATCAAGAGATGGAAAGTCAACTAGTCTTATGCCTGTGAAAGCTAACTCAGATATCACTCTGATGCTTGTAAACCATGAATTGTTAAGTTTCAAAAAACAGCAGTTGTGGTCAAGTTTATATCCGACATCTTTAAAAGACAGCAATACTATTTACTATAATTGTAAACATAATGAGTCTGTCTCCTAAGACAGCACATCCAGGAAAAGGTGCATTTATTTTAACTGTACCCCTGACATCCCTTATAAACTTTTTTGACAACTGTAGTGTAACTAACTGCCGTTGCTAAGTAGGGCTCTAGAGCATGACCCGAGGGAGTCACCTTTCCCAACATCACCAACCTACTTTAGCAGCAATTATGATTGTGACGAAACATTCTTAACAGCTTACACATTTAAAACGTCATTAGAACATCTCGCTCTTGGACACTGGTATAGAAAGGTCTTCCAAAGATAAAGGAGTGGAGGCCTGGCTTAATTTTCTCAGCCAGAGCCATTATTATGTTAAGATCGCCCTCTGCTGTTAAATCAAGGTCTATCTTCAGGTTCCGAAGCGATTTAAAGGGCTTTTTCCCCTTCTGCCTACAAATAATGATATAAGAGAAATTATAAGATAGAAAAGGTCCAAAGGGGACAAAATGAAAGCAATTAATGAAGGTTCTTCTTCCATGGAGGAGACTGACTTACGTATCATCTTCAATATATTTTATTAGCGTCAAGGCTTTTCTGTGAAGGACGAGCAGAAATTGCGCAAGGAAAGTACTCCTGAGAGACAGACCAGGTTTCAAATGAAAGACCTGCAGGAAAATGAAGCATGCTCATAAATAATTTGCTCCCGTTCTGCTTATCCACAGCATGTTTCTGCTGGTAGTGCCTGGCAGGTAACCCACGTTTGAGCAGCTCTCCCCAATCGTCTCCATAGATGGATACATCCTGGTGGACAGGAGGAGATGGACATACTGGAGCGGTCTGACAGTTCTGCTTCCTCTTCAAGAATGGACTCAAAATTGTCCTTCTACCTTAGACTACAACCATATTTATTAAAAATTATGATATAGGTTACTTCTGGTTGTGTTACTTTAGCTTTTCTCTGCCCACATCTTCAAATAAAACTGGAGCTCCTAGAGGTTGGGCTGTGCTTACACTATGGTTTTGAGATATTCATATTTTTCTATTTTGAGGGGTGGGGGTGCATGGGTAGTGGTAGAACAATTTTATTTCTGCTTGGGAAGCATGGAATTACATGACTTTGAATTATCCCTGAACTTTGCAATATGTCACAGATCACACAGATCTGGATCCAAAATTTCTAGTTAACAAGGATTATATTATTTCAAAGCTACATCTATGACAACTGTTTCCTGGCCTGATCCCTAGAGTGATATCATAACAAAGTCCCTCTATTTTAAGACCTAAGACCCATATAATCTAAAATTTTCTTTAAAACCTAGATCTTTTACAAAGAAATAAGACAGTAAGGATGCTATCATTTAAGTAAGTCTTAAAAACATTTTTTGCTTAATTAAGGCAAATACACAACATTTGTACAAAATGTCCCTTCACTAAAAGAAAACATCCTTGGGTTATAAATTAATGCTTAGAAGTTATTATCTAAACTGGGAGATGCTGCATCTTCAATTGTTAACATACAAACTACTTTCCACAAATAATTCAGCAGAAAAATAATTTTGACACTTTAGAAAAATCAAGAGATAAAACTACAAAAGGAGCTAATTCTATAGGCATCGTGGGATATATTGAACAGAACACATGTCATATCATTCACTCTGACAATCTCAGGTTTAACACTTACCTGATCCAGGAAGGCTTTCACAAGAGTGTCTCTATGTAAGACATCTTGAAAAATATTCCTACGAAGAAAACAGACGAAATGTTGACATGGCTATGCAAAGCTGTTTTCCACAACCTCTCACACCAACCAAACTAAATTATTCAAAATGGGATTATAAACATATTTATAAGAATTACATAAATAAATACAATAAAATACAACAAATAGATTTGGAAATACAATAAAATAGATTAATATACTCATTTTAACTCAAGGATACATTTATCTATCTATTACTGGAGTCTGTCAGGCCACAATGTAATTATTTTCTTTTTAATAGTGTAAGCAGTCCCAGGAAGGGTATGTACATATCTATCAATGTATTTTAATACCTCACCTTATAAAAAAATATTGAGAGCCTTAGGCAATTGGTAAATGCAACTATCAATTCCTGCCATCTTGAAAACATAAAACAGCAACAAAAATAAATATACACCAATACCATTACAAACCAAAACAAAATAAAAGGTTAACTTCATGTACTAATAACTCCTAAGAAGCAGTTTCGGAAGAAAAAAAGTAAGAGGATGAATGTTAGGAAACATTCAAGTGGGAATAAGGAACACACACAGATGATTATCTCCCAACGTTTTGCCCACTGGGTTTGCATCCACCAGTCCATCATCTGGTGAGGAACATGAATCAGCTACCTAATAAAATGTTAGCTACGTCGGCAATGAGCAGAGTCAGAAATTAAGGTCTAATTCACACCTGAGATAATGTTCATCTACCATACAACTTAGGATATTGTAGGCACTTTAAAAAGACTGTCTATTTCCCAGGTCCCAACCCCCTTTGATCTTTCTCTTCTTCCTTCCCTTTTCCTGCCTTCTACTTCACTAAGGAATTTACTGGGATACTAGGCTATACTCAAGTCAGAGGGGTAAAATAACATTTACTAAGGTAAGCAATTTTTAACTGAAAAGAAACAAAATAGTAGGGATCATCATATACCTGATCGAAGTAGCAAGAAAGAGATGTGTGTGCAGATGTAAATAGCAAAGTACCTTAAACTTCCTAGTTTTAGGGAATTGGGTGTTCCCTACTACAGAAGCAGGAAACTCAGAAAAGGGGAAAGAAAAATCAGCATTTCACAATTACTGGCTGTTCAACTGGTGGCCAGTATGGATACTGACAGCACCCATTTTCTGGCTTTGGAGAGAGAATTTAGCTATTTATGTCTAGTGTTCTGAACACTTTATAATTTGATTGTCTTGGTCAAAAGGGAATTAGATGAAGCAAAGTGTCATAAAAAGAGTATATTCAGTGACTGATTTTTCATGTTTAGGCAGTGAGTGAAATTATTTTTAAGAGTTAAAATTTAAAATATCTTAAAATTAAGTAATATTGCTTAAAATAAACTAAAAAGTAAAGTATGTCCATAAAACATAAAAGTTAATAATACCTCAATCTAGAGTTTGAAAATATTATTTTTGGATAATTTTATGTTTAGAAAATTAACAGCTGAAAACAAATGTTCAAAGTTCATGACATTATTTGTTATGATTAGCAAAACAAGAATAGGTGGCTCATCATAGTTTGTCAAATCAGTGAAGCCAACACAACTGGCTAAAATGAGTAAGACATATTAAAAGCATACATGTATCTCCTTTAAAAAAAAAATTCCAGAACTTTAGATAAAGTTCACCAAATTCCCCTGAAAGAGCTCTCCAGCAACCTACCAAAAAAACAGAAAAAATGGGACAGTCAGGAAGAGCTGGTTCCTGAGGAAGCCATCTTTTTGAACCTAGAGACACATGAGACGGGATTCCCAGGACACGGTGTTCCTTTGCTATGCTTGCGGGCAGCACCTGCTCTCTGACGACTGGCGCTTCCCGAGTCTGTTGCCTCAGCTCAAAATTCTTCTGTAAGACACAGGATAGGGTTGCTTGCTCCAATTTTACTGCTGCCCTATCCACTCGAACCTGGATTATTTACTAGTCAGTGTTTACCGAGCACATTCTATGTGCCGGGTATAGAGAACCATGATCGTATACAACAATTTATTTTCCTGATTTCAGTGTTTTTTTCAGTTATTTAAGTGTTTTACAGTTCAGATTTCTTCTTTTTTTCCCTTAATTGGGTCCACATTCAACATTTTATTATCATTGCTTTCTCTGTTAATTTACTGATCATACCTTATGGTAAGAAATGAATAACACAATATAAGAGAATATAAAAGAATGCTCTATTAATGCATTTTCACAGTTTTGCTGTATTTTATATTTATATATATCAAGGAAAAAAAAAGACTTAGCAATACCTCCTTGGTTTAGTTAATAAATAAGCTTCTTAATGACCTTTATACACTAGTCTATAAGCAATGGAAGGACCTGGGTCTGGGGCTGTCTGGGTGGCCACCATTAACCGGAACATCACTGATTCAGTGGACATGGACTTGGGTGAACTCCAGGAGATGGTGAGGGACGGGAGGCCTGGGGTGTTGCAGTCCGTGGGGTGGCAAAGAGTCGGACACGACTCGGCAACTGAACAATGACAAACCTTAGCACCTTGTTACTAGGGGCTCAATGGATATCTGTTAATTAAGTACTTAAGTAGTTATTTTTAAGGACTAATCTAACTTAGCTTATGGCAAACACAATCATACTAAGAAAAATAGACACTGAAGAAAAAAAATGCTTGATTCACCAAAGATTTCTTCGAGCATAGTAAAGATATGCCTCCCCTTTTAAACACTGGATTGCGTGCTTCCACTCATAAAAGACGGTTAGGTAATACTGCTTAAAGACAGCATCGGAGAGCAGGGCATTACGTACAAGTCAGGGGTGAAGCTCTCGTCTGTGTAGATGAAGGTGTCCTGAGCCACGTCTTCTTCTGAAGTGGCTCGCCAGAACGCTGCCAGCTCCGAGCGCATGTATCTACGCTGATTGTAAATGTGTTCGTGACAGGGCGGCATCTGCTTCACGGCGTTGACGTCCACATCGATGTGTGTGCTGGGGTAAGGCGCGTACATGACTTGCCGGAAGGGAAGCACAAAGCTTCCGGTCGAATCCTGTCAGGATGAAGAGAAAACTGTCTTTTACACCAAAAGATAGGAAGATTATCTTTAATTTAAAAAACTGGCTTTCACTTAGCAAGTTCAGCTCTAGAAATTTATCCCAGTAGATGAATCATGGTTGTGTGTCAAGTTTGAGTGACATGGGTACTATAGCACTGGATTAAATAGTAAAACATCAGAAGCAACTTGAGCATCCACAAAGGGAAATTAAATATTTATTCATTTAAATAAATGAAAATAATTTGTTTAGCTGCTAAAAATTAAGTTGCCAATGTTTATGTGTTGATACTGAAAGATGTTCATAATATATTGTGAAAAAAGGAGCTTAAAACATGAAGAGTATAATCTAATTTTCTGGCAGGGAAAGGGGGAAGATATGAAAAAAATACAGAAGAAGAAAAAGACCAGAAAGATATATGCCAAATATTAATAGGGGTTATTCAATGGATTATGAGATTACAAGTGACTTTTTATATTCTTGGTTATTCATATGTTCTGTTAAGTATCAGTTGAAAATGCATTTTTTATAGTACGTATACTTCTTTGCAGGTATAGTCAGTTGGGTAGTCAGTTGCCATATAACAAGTATCTACTGTTATAATATCAAAGTATGCTCTAAAAGGCTATACAATTTAAACTTGCATGGAAAATTCTTTTTTTTTTTTTAAACTTGCATGGAAAATTCTAAACAAACATGTTTTCATTAAATTATAGTCAAATTCTCTGCTATGCATTTGATATAGGTCCCTTTAATGGATAAAATTATACAATAAGTGAGAAGATGCTGAGGAAATAAAAGTACAAAGTACCTCATCATGCCTTTGATAGGATAAGTTCTAATTTTCAGATCTGTACATATCAAATAAAAAATGAGTTTCCCTTAAGAAGTTTCTGTATTTAAACAATATTATTCTGAGCTCAGAGCAAGTATACTATTGAAAATGTAAAAGCTAGAGTCAGATGGGCACGGAGATGCTTCTGGAAGTAACATTGTGATGGCTGCCCAAGGAGAACCCCAAGTTCAGTTCAAACTTGTTTTGATTGGTGATGGTGGTACTGGAAAAACTACATTTGTGAAGCGTCATCTGACTGGTGAATTTGAGAAGAAGTATGTAGCTACCTTGGGTGTGGAGGTCCAGCCTCTTGTGTTCCATACTAACAGAGGACCTATTAAGCTCAGTGTATGGGATACAGCTGGTCAGGAGAAATTTGGTGGACTGAGAGATGACTATTATATATAAGCTCAGAGTGCCATTATAATGTTTGACGTAACATCAAGAGTTACTTATAAGAATGTGCCCAACTGGCATAGAGATCTGGTACAAGTGTGTGAGAACATCCCAATTGTGTTATGTGGCAACAAAGTGGATATTAAGGACAGAAAGGTTAAGGCAAAGTCAACTGTCTCCCACCGAAAGAAGAATCTTCAGTACTATGACATTTCTGCCAAAAGTAACTACAACTTTGAAAAGCCCTTCTTCTGGCTTGCTAGAAAATTGACTGGAGACCCTAACTTGGAGTTTGTCGCCATGCCTGCTCTTGCCCCGCCAGAGGTGGTCATGGACCCAGCCTTGGCAGCAAAGTATAAGCACAATTTAGAGGTTGCACAGACAACTGCTCTCCCGGATGAAGATGATGACCTGTGAGAAAGTGAAGCTGGGGCCCAGTATCAGAAGTCTAGTTTTATAGGCAACTGTCCTGTGATGTCAGTGGTGCAGCGTGTTTGCCACTTTATTATATAGCTAAGCAGAACATGTGCTTAATCTTTGGATGCTGAAGGAGATGGATGGGCTTTGGAGTGAACGTGGCACTTAAAAAAAAAAAAAACCTTCATTTTTTGGACCTGCATATTTAGGTATTTTGGAACACAGCTGTTTCCTCCTTGAGTTTCAAATATAAGACTGCTATAGTCACATGACAATATTGAGAGGTGGAATCTTGTTTGTTACTGTCATTCCTATTCCTTTTCATTTAGAATCAGAATAAAGTTGTATTTCAAATATCAACAAAAAAAAGAAAATGTAAAAGCTGAATATAATTTTTATTTGCAACAATTTTTAGTATTTTTTCTTTCATTTTACTATGCCTATATCCTCAAGAAAGCAATCACTCTGAGAGACTCACATAATCATTAGGAAATCTACTTCTTCATATCTCTGATGATAATTGAAACATCAATAATAGATTCAATAAAGTAAGGATTCCCCATAATTATTGAAAATAATTGTTAATTTATATTCATCTGTTTTGCTCCTTGAAACACAGACTCAAGTAAATAAAGAAAAAATATAAAATAAATTTTTTCTTATATATACATACACACTGATATACTGAAACCACTCAAATCCTATATACTTTTTCAAGATAGGAAGCAGCTTAACATTTTCTTTTCAGTAAATGAAGGTGCTACATAAAACATAAAATGGTAACACAAAAATTCAAATCTGTTCAGTAAATAAGAAATATTCCCATTTTAGTTGTGTAAACTGATTCAAGCACATATTAAAAAAAAAAAAAAAATCTTGAGACCAGACAGGTATGGGAAACCAAATAGAAACACAAAGAAAGCTATTCTGTGATGTTTTACTGATACAAACTATAAATTTATAAGATATACACTCCATGCTCAGACCTGTGAAAAGCAAGTCATCTCCTTACCATACAAACACAAGACACATTAAATGCTAATGTTCAACATATATTTATAAAGAATCTCAAACATAATTTTAAAAAAGTTGGTTTCACTTGTGATAAATGGAAACTGTACCTTTAGTAGGCCTTGTACAAAGAGCCCTGACTCGTATTTAAATGATGATTCTGCTTCACACAATCTGGAGCATTTTCTCTCTGCTGGAGTCAGAAAAAGGCATAATGTTCTTACTATCTGTAAAATGAAAATATTTTAGCATTAAAATATGGATAAAAAGGCCACTAGTTTGCTTAGGAAAGAGCCTGAATAGAAATTTCAGGTGTTACTTTCAATAAAACCTACTCTGAGAAATAAGTATTTCTCAGTAACCTGGAATAGTCTATGGGATATAACAGCTGTTGCTTAACTAAGTATATTGTGGCCAAATAAGCTTGGAAAATGTTAGTAAAGTTAACTGTATGGTATCTCAAAACCATTACTATTTGAATACACACTGTGACTCTTTAGGTGACTGATACAATATGCAGAGTTTTTCAAGCTTATTTTACCATGGAAACCTTATTCCTAATCTTATATGAGGAAATAATGACCTAATAGAATTATTGATTATATAGCCACCCAGCAATAATTTGGATGAGAAAACTAAATGCAGTTAAATTAGGCAGAATTATATCTTCTGTTTTAAAGTTCTATATGTGAAATCTCATCACAATGAATATCAAAAAGTTTCTAAATCCTTGAGTAGAATGAGAATTAATTTTATCAAATTTAATTTGAAATAAGCAATCCATTTGGCTGGGGTTTAGAAACCTATCATTCTGACAAGATTTGATCATAGATCTATTAGGAAAAAATAAAAAGCCATGTAACTATCTCAGAATTCAGATTATATTCAAAGTTTTTACATTAAAATAGTTGTTTTTAAACTAGTGGTGGCAACCTTTTTCTCAAATGAAAAAGATAAAAAGAAGCTATTAAGCTAAAAGAGGATGGTAGATAAGAAAAATGTTTGTAAAATATAGAACCCCAACCATCAAGGCTGTTTCTTCCCAAGAAGCAACTGGAAAGGGTTATGGAACCTGAAAGCTTTGTAGGACACGAACTGAAAGCTACCTTCTTGGGGCAGCAGAAATAATAATAAGCCACTAGATATAATTTAATAACAGGTAAGTTAATCTGTCATAAATGGTTATATCAGAAATATAATTTTGGTAAATCAAGGGTTGGGTAGAGTCTACAGGGAAGCTTATCACAGAAAAAAAAATTATGAAATTATTTGTCAAGCAAATAATCACTCCTAACATACTTCCTGTGTAAAACCTGAAAAATTAGGTTTGCTTAAATTGATAAGCTACATACACTTATCTCTTTCTAATTACTGATCAGTGAAGAAAAGTACAAAAATCCCTTAGTTTACTACCTAATGTTTGGAAAGGTTCATGGATTCTCATACAGCACTAAAGGAGGTGGTCACAAATGTTGCCATAAAACCTCCAATGACCACTTACTAGCAATAGTTCCCTAAAAGGAAAAGATTTAGAGGGAAAAGCAAGGTAATGAAATCAAGATGAATGATGAGATACCATTTCTTTGGAATTAGTACCAAAAGAACATGGCTGTCTTCATATACATTAACGATAACATCAGGAAATAGATGACAAATATTTTTAAAAACATCTGATTTTAAAATATTCTCAAAACCATTTATACAATACTGAGACTAGTATTTATAAATTATCATGATGAAATTGATAAGTAACTTCCTTTTCAGATAGTTTACTTTAAACTTATTTTTGCCATAGGGTGTCCCAGTAATTTGGTCAGATTATATTGCTTCCTAATATTATAAGATCACCTTGATTGCAACCTAACCTTTAAATAACAATCCACATACATTAGCAGTATTAAAAAAATCAGATCATTTGCTGGATTACAAAATAAATTACCTTATTTACTTTCTCTGCACTGCTACCTACTACAACAGAGCAGCCACAAGTTTGCAAGTGTGAGCTGATAGCACTGTGAATTGAAAAAAAAAAAAGATTAAAAAAGTGTTGACTGTAAAATAATTTCACAAACTAAAAAAAAAAGACAAGTGAATTTCAAAAAGCTTTGAATAGCTTTAAATAAGGAACACCAAAGTTTTGATCATAATGCCATCTTTTATTTCTATAGTACTCTGCATTTTCTACCACATGCCTTTCACAGATTCTATCTGAACCTTAAAACAATGCAGTTAGTAAAATATCACTGTTTTATAGTGGAAGAATCTGCAGTATAAAGAGGTTAAAGTGGTTTGTTTAAAGTCAAATGTTAAAAAATAACATCATTTTAACATGATGTTAAAAATAATATCATGAGTGGCTGACACTGAGCAGAATCAGGACTAAAGCGCTTCTCATTCCAGCCATGTAAGGCTTTGAGGTTAAACACAGGCCTTTAAGACCCCATCATGAACCTAAAGGAGAAGACTGTAGACGTAAAAGCAAGGACTTTATCCTTTCATTCCTCATTTTTTACAGCCTGAGCTACCAGGGAAGTCTCCATTCCTCATTTTTTAAAACAAAATTTCATGATAATCTGTAATTGTAAAGAAGTACTCAAGTAGAAGATGAAATTATTCAAGTAGAAGATGAAATTATACAAGTAGAAGATGAGATTATAAATGCAGGCAGAGCACTTAGGGGACTAATATGCAGGCACTCAATAAATACTGGCCATTATCATTGTTATTATCATTTTTCTTAGAATAAATAAATAGAAAGTGTTAGCTATTTGCTATTATTATGTGCCCATATGTGCCATGCACTTTTAAATGCCCAATACGATTCATCTCACTCCATCTTACAACACTCCTATGAAGTAGGTAATATTGTTCCATTTTATAGATGAGGAAATGCAGGCATGAAGAGCTCACGTAGCTTGCTCAGGGTTACAGAGCAGCAAGCCAGGCCGCCTGATTTTAGAGCTCACACTCTAAAATCTACTGTGACATGAAAAAGATCAGTACAAATAGGAGAATTTTCTTTTCTAGGCCTAAGTATAACAACTTAATTAGAAAGCAATCTTTAATGAGAAGAAAAACAAGAAACCAGAACCAGACAAGGGTCCAAGAATTCTCATCTAGACACTTGGGAAACTCAGCTTCCTTAAATATTAAAAAGAGTCACATCAAATGTATCATAGGTATGTAATAAGTAAAGATGCAACAAAAAGCTAAGCAATAATTCAATCGTGCCTTGCTGACCCCAGAATAATCTAGTTAGGCATTCTCTTATTATTTCCTTCCTTCCCAATCTTGTCACAGGTGAGCATAAGATCTGCATCTGCTTCATCCAGCTTTTATGAAAAGAAACAAAATTCTTACTTGAGAAGAAAGCCTTCATGGCAACTGTCACCAATATCATCATCATTGAGAACCGTATCAGCTATCTAAAATGCACCAAAAGGAAAAAAAAGAATATTCTGGCTGTTAACAAAACGCTGAAATAACAATTTTAATACATAAGTTTTCTGAAGTCTAGGTTCAATATGACACATTGCCCTCATTTTGAAGCATCACAGATCCCCATAAAAGAATCTGTGTCACTGATGGAAACTTGCAGAACAAATGACGCGAGAGCTGGTGAGACAGGTTAAGCAGCCATTTTTACAAGAACTACTTCCTCTTCTGAGCTGCCACAATCAGGAAACAAATCTTAATTACAAAGTCAGGAAGCGGCTAAATTAGTTGCCTAAAGATTTCTCTTCACGTCTATAGTGTGTAATTCTTAATGTCCTCAACAAACGAGTGATTAAGGAAATCACACTAGTGAAGATAAGGGAACTTCCATTAGCAGCTAGTGATCTGTACACTGCTTTCTTACAAAAAGTACTGCACTAAACACTGATTGACTCTCTAAGGTCTGAAATTCTCATACTTCTAGGAAATACAAAAGTGGACAATTTAACTAAATAAATTTATCATAACTGCTATTACTAACCAAAAGGTCTCTGCTTGGCCATTAAATTCAGGATTTTAAATGTGTTTGTTAAAGTGGCTCATAATTCACACGAATGATATGTATGATAAAAACGTGTACTACTAAAATTAGAACATTACTAATATACGTAATAGTAATATAACTTAGGGGAATGAATACATGGCACCATTGCTCCGATTTAACATGACAGCTGAGGGCTTACGTCTATTTCTTCAGGAACACTGTGTGATTTCATAGACGAAAGCAGCTCCATTACAGGAATGACTTCTCCAGTCAGCATTGGAATAATGCTCTGACCCTGCACAAAAAAGTAAAATGAGGTGAGGAAAATCACACAATAGAGGAGGAAGCTGGCAATAACAAATCAAAAGCTGAAAGCAAAGAATAACACCCTTTAACAGAAATACTTGATAACTCATTCAAACACTGGAGGAGGAAACGGCAACCCACTCCAGTATTCCTGCCTGGAAAATTCCATGGACAGAGGAGCCTGGTGGGCTACAGTCCATGGGGTCGCAAAGAGTCGGACACGACTGAGCACCTGAGGACATACATTCAAACACAGCCTCAAACAGTGTCTACTCCAACACCTTTCTATTTCTAAAAGTCTTATGTGCTATTTAAAACTCCTTTTCATTCTTCCAGGAAATTTTTTTTTAGTCAGAATGGAATCATTGGTTTATCATTTACATGCAATAATTAAATCAGCACACCAAATTTAGAAAGAATCTCCTTTGCAATTTTATTGTGAGATATAAGAACTCTTGTTAATCAAAGGTCATTGACACATTTTATATTAAAAATGGGGAAAGACAATCATAAAAAGGCTTTAAAATTCTCAGTAGATAACTCAGTAGTAAAGCTTGAGTCAATACTCAATCTCTATATTCATAATAAGGTATAATCTACCCAAATCAAAGTCATAGCATGTATTTTTAAGAATCAGTAAAGAAGACAAGTTTCCTTTAGTGTTCTTTCAAGGTTATACTATGACTGCATACATCTCAAAAATGTAATTTTAAAATCTGCAGTTTATAGAAGGAAGTTGAAAATTCAACAGAGAACACCGCACATGTGAAGTGCCTCAACTATGGGTGGCTCCTGCATGTATTCATTGCCACCGTTACTTCTGCAAAATGTTTTGCCCATCTTGAAATCACAAACTTTTACAGAGGCAGATGAAACTGTCATATGTCTATAAATTTTTAGCTAAACATGTTTTTAAAATCACATCATTAAGATCAATCTAAGAACAAAACTTATCCCCTCATTCACATGTCATGAAATAATTATACTTAAACTCCTTACATTAAATTGAAAAAAGTAGGGAAAACCACTAGACTATTCAGATATGACCTAAATCAAATCCCTTACGATTATACAGTGGAAGTAACAAACAGATTCAAGGGATTAGATCTGATAGACAGAGTGCCTGAAGAACTATGGATGGAGGTTTGTGACATTGTACAGGAGGCAGTGATCAAGACCATCCCCAAAAAAAGAAATGCAAAAAAGGCAAAATGGTTGTCTGACCGGGGCCTTACAAATAGCTGAGATAAGAAGAGACGCTAAAGGCAAAGGAGGAAAGGAAAGATATACCCATCTGAATGCAGTGTTCCAAAGAATAGCAAGGAGAGATAAGAAGACTTTCCTAAGTGATCAATGCAAAGAAATAGAGGAAAACAACAGAATGAGAAAGACTAGATACCTCTTCAAGAAAATTAGAGATACCAAGGGAATATTTCATGCAAAGATGGCCACAAGAAACAGAAATAGTATGGACCTAACAGAAGCAGAAGATATTAAGAAGAGGTGGCAAGAATACACAGAAGAACTGTACAAAAAAGATCTTTACGACTCAGAAAAGCACGATGGTGAGATCACTCACTTAGAGCCAGACATCCTGGAATTCAAAGTCAAGTGGGCTTTAGGAAGCATCACTACGAACAAAGCTAGTGGAGGTGATGGAATTCCAGTTGAGGTATTTCAAATCCTAAAAGATGATGATGTGAAAGTGCTGCACTCAATATGCCAGCAACTTTGGAAAACTCAGCAGTGGCCACAGGGCTGGAAAAGGTCAGTTTTCATTCTAATCCCAAAGAAAGGCAATGCCAAAGAATGTTCAAACTATTGCACAGTTATGCATCTCACACACTAGCAAAGTAATACTCAACATTCTCCAAGCCAGGCTTCAACAATACATGAACGGTGAACTTCCAGATGTTCAAGCTGGTTTTAGAAAAGGCAGAGGAACCAGAGACCAAATGGCCAACATCTGTTGAATCAGAGAAAAAGCAACAGAATTCCAGAAAAACATCTGTTTTTGCTTTACTGACTATGCCAAAGCCTCTGACTGTGTGGATCACAACAAACTGTGGAAAAGTCTTAAAGAGATAAGAAAAAGACCACCTGACCTGCCTCCTGAGAAATCTGTATGCGGGTCAAGAAGCAACAGTTAGAACTGGACATGGAACAACAGACTGGTTACAAATTGGGAAAGGAGTATGTCAAGGACGTATATTGTCACCCTGCTTATTTAACTTCTATGCAGAGTACATCATGCAAAATGACGGGCTGGATGAAGCACAAGCTGGAATCAAGATTGCTGGGAGAAATATCAATCACCTCAGATATCCAGATGACACCACCCTTATGGCAGAAAGTGAAGAAGAACTAAAGAGCCTGTTGATGAAAGTGAAAGAGGAGAGTTGAAAAAGTTGGCTTAAAACTCAACATACAGAAAACTAAGATCATGGCATCTGGTCCCATCACTTCATGGCAAACAGATGGGGAAACAATGGAAACAGTGACTGACTTTATTTTTTTGGGCTCCCAAATCACTGCAGATGGTGATTGCAGCCATGAAATTAAAAGATGCTTGCTCCTTGAAAGAAAAGTTGTGACCAACCTAGAGAGCATATTAAAAAGCAGAGGCATTACTTTGCAGACAAAGGTCAGTCTAGTCAAAGCTATCATTTTTCCAGTGGTCATGTATGGATGTGAGAGTTAGACTATAAAGAAAGATGAGTGCCAAAGAACTGATGCTTTTGAATTGTGGTGTTGGAAGAGACTCTTGAGAGTCCCTTGGACTGCAAGGAGATCCAACCGGTCCATCCTAAAGGAAATCAGTCCTGAAAATTCATTGGAAGGACTGATGCTGAAGCGTAAACTCCAATACTTTGGCCACCTGATATGAAGAACTGACTCACTGGAAAAGATCCAGATGCTAGGAAAGATTGAAGGCAGGAGGATACAGGGACGACAGAGGATCAGATGGTTGGATGGCATCATTGACTCAATGGACATGAGTTTGAGCAAGCTCTGGGAGTTGGTGATGGACAGGGAGGCCTGGCATGCTGAAGTCCATGAGGTTGCAAAGAGTCGGATACGACTGAGCGACTGAACTGAACTGAAGCTCCTTACATGCATATCTGAAGTAGAAACTGCATTCCTATGACCAGTCCTTTTTTTGAGTGACTTAACCTAGTTTTCAGAGCCCCATATCATGTTAAGTTGCTTTAGAATTTAAATATGATGCTGCCTCTGGATACGGTATCCTAAGTCATAGGCCCCTTTGTATCATTCAGGATGTTTTATTATAAAAAAAATTCCATCCTATAGTAACCTATGAATATAAAACCTTCATTGCCTTTTCTTTTTAAAGTAATTTTTTAAATCTCAGTTTATAATTACAACAATCAACATATGTAATTCAAAAAGACTAATGATTGACCTTGTGTTAAATTTGCTTCCTTGTAAAATAATTTTATCATATGACAGCTACAAGCATCTACAACTAGCATGATTAAACTTGTTTTAGATTATATATCATCATCAAATAGTATTTATTGCTCAAAATAAAGTCACTGTAACCACATGATGTGAGATTTGCAAGAACTCAATTACCAGGCAACTCCTTTTCAGAAAGGATAGTTATGGGAGAATACCGTCCCTTTGGGGCTTCCCTGGTAGCTGAGCTGGTAGAGAATCCACTTGCAATGCAGGAGACCCTGGTTCGATTCCTGGGTTGGGAAGATGCCCTGGAGAAGGGATGGGCCACCCACTCTAGTCTTCTTGGGCTTCCCTTGTGGCCCAGACGGTAAGTATTCCCCTGCAGTGTGGAAGACCTGGGTTTGATCCTTGGGTTGGGAAGATCTCCTACAGGAGGGCAAGGCAACCCACTCCAGTATTCTTGCCTGGAGAATCCCCATGGACAGAGGAGCCTGGTGGGCTACAGTCCATGGGGTCACAAAGAGTGGGACACGACTGAGCACATACCTTCCCTTTTAGCTCAGTCCAGTCGCTCAGTCGACCCCATGGTGTAGGCATATATACTATTTATACACAGCATCTCGACATTTATCATTATAAGCTAATGGAGATCCTCACTGAAGCTTAACAACAACAAATACTAGATGGCTGAACACAGAAAAGGCTCTAAAATGTCTTGAATTTCTCAGCAGCAAAGTTCCCCTTTAAAAACCTCCTGTTTGTTCAAGTATGTGTGTGCTTAGTCGCTCAGTCATGTCTGACTCTTTGTGACCCCACGGACTGTATGTAGTCCACCAGACTCCACTGTCCATGGGGATTCTCCAGGCAAGAATACTGGAGTGGGTTGCCATGACCTCCTCCAGGGAATCTTCCCAACCCAGGGGTCGAACCCAGTCCTCCCGCATTGCAGGCAGATTCTTTGCCGTCTGTGCCACCAAGGAAGCCCAAGTATAATTTCCTCCTGACACAGAGAGGGGGGGATAACATTTTTAAGAGGGCTTAGAAGAGAAATAACCTTAACGTTAATAGCTGTCAACTTTATAAGCACAGATTTCTGGTTTGAAAAAATTCCAGAAAACGTAGAATTTTACTGGGTTCTAAATGTCATTATGTTGACATAACTCTACTAGTTCCTCCATAAGTAGAAGGTACATCGAGAGGTTGGTGAAAGTCACCCCATTCCTGGGCACACTTCTTACTGCCTGCAAGGAAAGCCAGGCTTCTCTGAATAAAGGGAAACATTTTCTTGTTAAGTCTTAGAACTTTCCCCATATCTGTCTCCTTCTGACTTTTGTAAATGTTATTTACAAAAGTAGAAACATATAAATTTTGTAAAGAAGGTCATTTTATAGCATTTTGTATTTGCCTTGTTTATGTTCCTATATCCTGACAAATTTGTAGAAAATGTTATTGTTTAAAATAGCATTTGTCTCAGGCATCCCAAAGAGAACCAGAGAAAAGGCTTGTTTACACTGGAGTTTTCAGAGGAGCAATGAGGGTGGCCAGAGGCGATGAGAGTAAAAGCAGAGAACCCTTTCTCTGGGGGGAAGATCTCCCTTCAGAAAATCTCTGCCCTGGGTTGAAATGCTCTGTAATTAATTTCCATGAGGGAAGCCATACCCTTGCAATCATGCTTCTCAAACCCTGGTGCCTGCTCCCTAAGGATGTTCAAAGCCATGGGATAGACATGGCCTGTTTTCCTGGAGACTTGATGCCACCAGAAGCCAGAATGGTAAGAAGGTAAGGAATACTAATGGCAAACCGTTAATATTAAAACAAATAGATATATCACGGAATAAAATGTAAACTGCATGAGGTTTAGACTGAGAAAGGAGCATTGACACAGACACACACTCTCATGTGTAAAATAGATAAGTAGTGGGAAGCTGGTGTGTATCACAGGGAGCCTCCCGTGGTGCTGTTAGAAGGGTGCAGTGGGGCAGGGAGGGATGGGATGTATACATATTCAAACTTATGCCTGATTCATGTTGTACAGCAGAGACTGCCACAAGACTGTAAAGCAATTATCCTCCAATTAAAAAAAATTGCAAGAGTTTAAAAAAAAAATTGCAAGAGTTTTAAAGATACAATTGAGACTTCAAAGAAGTATTATGCCTAGACCTGTGTGTGTACTCCCAGATATCTTAGGGGTACTCACTCTCCTGCTACAACTACTTCTGTCCAAATGCTTAAGAAGCAATACCTTAAAAAAATAATCTAATATATAGCACTTAAAATTTTTACTATGCACAACTTGTCCAAAATTTATCCCATGCAAATGGAAAAAAGGTAGCAAAATATTAATTTGTAGATGCAGCTCTTATTATCCTTTATTTATTTAACTCTTCAGGTCTAAGATACGGAAGTTTTTATCCAGGTTATTCCATTTATCTCCATAAAGATTCTGTTTGCATTTAGGCTCGCTCTGTCAAATTAATAATGTCTGCAGGGAATCTTCTCAACCCAGGGATTGAACCCGGGTCTCCTGCATTGCAGGTAGACTCTTTACCATCTGAGCCACCAGGGGAGTTTAACAGAAGCACCCCTTAGCTTTATACAGCCCTCATTGGTGGGTCTGGCTATGTCCGGGGATGAGAAATCTGCACCTTACCTGATCTTCCATTCTCTCTGCGCCTTCCAAGACGATTTTCTGGACATTTTCTTGCCTCTCCTGAGCAAGAGAAAATTCATTAAAATTAATAAACCACAACCTTTAGATACTTGATTATTTTCCACAATACAGTTAAATGGCAGACATCTTCCTGGGTAATTTAATTCATGGGAAAAATACTTTCCACTTTAGGGTCAAAAAAAGAGGGGTGGGTGGGAAGCACCCAACAAATCCATACTCTCATAGACAATACGAAATAAAATAACACCCTTTTCGTCTGCAGTTAAAAATGTAATTTGACAGAAAAACAGTCAATGTAACATCTGCAAAGTTTCACAAAAGAAACTAATGATTTGTACTTAAATTGGATAAGATGAAGATGAATCTAGGGAATGCAGAGCTAGATTTTAAATTATTTTTATATACGTGAGAATTAAGGAGGTATGCCTTGAAACATAGTTGGATTTCCATGTTAGTATCAAATTGCAAAGCAGAAAGAATGAAATTTGTTCTTCTCATGTGTCAGAATTACAGTATATGGAAATATAAATATCACTATATATTAAACTATAGGATTTAGGTGATAACAATAACTTCCTCTAGCTCAAGTCACAAAATTGAAAGGAATATCTTCTGAATATCGGTTGGACCATTTGGTCCAACTTCTTAATTTTAAAAATTTGGGAACTTGGCAAAGAACTTAAAGGGACCAAAGGTTATATGGGCAAAGGCTTATGAAACAATTGTCCTAAACTGCTTACACTATACACAGTGAGTAAAAGACAGGGTCATGCAATGCAAAAATAAGCTTTCAGAGTCAAACATGTTGCAAGACAAATCCAGACTCGGAAGCTTATGTTTCTTAATTTCTCTAAGCTTTGGTTTTCTGTTTACAATTTGGAGCTATCATCTCCTACCTTCCAGGGTTAGAAATGACAAATATCAGCCTAGATTGATTTGTACCTAATATGGTAGAAGCTAATAATAGCTCCTGTTTGAAGTTAACTGTATATAATTTCTAAAAATTAGATATAAGTGTGCGTGAGTGCCCACTCAGTTGTGTCTGATTCTTTGTGACCTCATGGATTGTAGCCTGAGAGGCTCCTCTGACCATGGAATTTGCCAGGAATACTAGAGTGGGTAGCCATTTCCTTCTCCAGGAGATCTTCCCCACCCAGGGATTGAATCCAGTCTCTTGCATTGGCAGGCGGGCTCTTACCGCTGAGCCACCTAAGAAGCCAGAAATAAATGTATTGGAAGGTAAACTTTCAGTGGCTAGGTTAGCATGCTTAATAGGTTCCAAACCCACTCACCTTATGCATCCATATCCTCCCTTTCCGGATAATGTGAGTTAATCTATCCACACAGACTCTGTGAAGTGGGAGGTAGAAGCTCAGCTCTGTCTGGGGAAGTATAATCGATAGTCCATAGGTGCTCCTATCCCCATTCCAGTTTCCGTCGAAGATTAACGAAACAATAATTACTCCTTTCTCAGATAAGACAAAGAACTTCACGTCTATTGCCCCACTCTCTGCATTTCGAAGGATTTCTCCGTTGAGGGTATGGTTGGCAAGAAAAGTTATTTCTCCGTCGCTGAGAAGTACCTGTTCTGTCTTTGGAGCCCAGATGTGCCTTACTCTGGGACCAAGAATATTGTCCCAGTAAGCGAAGGTCGCTGCCAGTAAAGGGGATTCACCACTTAAAGCAATCTCTGTCTTGGCAACAGCTGGAGATGGTGGTGGGCAGAGGGTCGACATCACTGCATCCCAACCGTCACATTATCTGAAAGCTCCAGGGATACCTGGACAATGACATACAAAACCAGTGATCAAGTTCAGCGATTTTAAAAGTCATCCATCAAAAACACAACTGTTGGTATTGATATATACACGTGTGCGCATACTGTCATGTCCGTCTCTTTGTGATCCCATGGACTGCAGCCCGCCAGGCTCCTCTGTCCATGGGATTCTCCAGGGAAGAGTACTGGAGCGGGTTGCCTTTCCTCCTCCAGGGGATCTTCCCAACCCAGTGATCAAACTCACATCTCCTGCGTTGGTAGGCAGAATCTTTACCATTGAGCCACCTGGGAAGCCCACTGATATATACACACTACTCTGCTTAAAATGGGTAACTAATGAGGACCTGCTGTGTAACACGGGAAACTCTTCTCGATACGCTGCAATGACCTATCTGGGAAAGTAACCTGAAGAGTGGATATATCCATGGGCTGTAAAACAGAAACACAACACTGTAAATCAACTATACTTCAATTAAAAAAAAAAGTGCACTCTAAGGTTAAAAAAAAAAACAAACTTAAATGATTTAGATATATGTGGTTTTCTCCTCTCCAGTCAAAAAGATGTGAAAGCACGTCTCCTACTATGCATGATAGGTGTACATTAAGTGTTTGCTGATATGATGATTATTTCATGATACACAGTAGTAAATTACCACTTATAATCAGGATACACACTTAGAAATCCGAAATAATGACCTTAAAAAAAGCCTTTGAACATTACTATGAAATACTATATACTAAAGCTCATTGTATAGATCCTCACTGTTTCTGGACAGCCAGCCTATTTGCAATCTAATATGATTGGCTATTTGGTTCCTGAACCATAGGAATTAAAGAGAAGCCAGCTGGGAAAGGGAGGACTCACCAAGAGACCATGGCACCTGCCGTGGGTTGGACTGTCCTTCCCCACCCCAAACAGACGTTCACGTCCTAACCCCCTGTGAGCTTACTTAGAAACAAGTGTAATCAAGTTAGGATGAGGTGGTATTGGATCAGGGTGGTCCTCATACAATGGCTGGTGTCCTGACAAGGAGAGAAAGCTTTGGAGACATGCAGACAGAAACAGGACCATGTGAAGATGAAAATAAACTGGAGTGATGTGGCTGCAAGCCAAGGTATGTGTGCTGGTAACTACCAGAAGCTAAAAAGAGGCAAAGATTCTTTTCTGGAGTCTTTAGAGGAGCATGCCTCTGCCAACCACTCATTTTGGGCTTCTAGCTTTCAGAATTGAGACAGAATACATTTTTATCATATTTACATCACCCAGTTTGTGGTACTTTTGTTATGGCAGTCCATACCTGGCAGTAGAAAACCTTAAAAGCTGCTAAGGGTGGGGGTGGGGGTGGGGGCGGGGAGAAAAGAAAGACAATATTATAAGACCACAACAATCTGGAACCATATGAGAAAATGAGGAAACAACGATGCACATGATTATTCTCAACATACTCTTTAGCCATCAAGAGTATTAAAGCCAAATACAAGTGTTCAAAGTGAGGTAAGTATATTTAATATGATGTTCAAGAAACAAGAAATATATTTAATATGCTATTCAAGAAAGCAGTATGGCATTTTATCATTACAAAGAAGCTTCTACACTAAATGGCTAAAGTAAAAAAAGCTTTAATTATTTAAAACATGTAGAGGACTAACTAAATGGTTGGATGGGCCCTTTCAATCTACTGAGAAAATAGAGAAGAGTGAACTGCCCAAGGTCACTGAGCCACACTAGAATCCAGGTCTCTTCGACATCTTGCTGCTGCTGCTAAGTCACTTCAGTCGTGTCCGACTCTGGGCGACTCCACAGATGGCAGCCCACCAGGCTCCCCTGTCCCTGGGATTCTCCAGACAAGAACACTGGAGTGGGCTGCCATTTTGACATCTTAACCCATTCCAATGAATCACTCTAAAACTGTACATTCAATGAGGTACGAATGCAAAATGAATCATTCCTGCCTAATGTTAAAATTGAATATGCACTGAATGCATATTCAGTGCCAATTTCATTTAGGCAAGTCTAAAATGGTTGAATCTATTCATTATAATGGTAAAGGTGAAAGTGAAGTCGCTCAGTCATGTCCGGCTCTTTGTGACCCCATGGACTGCAGTACGCCAGGCTCCTTTGTCCGTCCATGGGATTTTCCAGGCAAGAGTACTGGAGTGGGTTGCCGTTTCCTTCTCCAGGGGATCTTCCCGACCCAGGGATCGAACCCAGGTCTCCCGCACTGCAGGCAGATGCTTTTACCTTCTGAGCCACCAGGAAGTCTTACCTAATAGTAAAGGATAGTAGTTAATAGGTGAGCTATGATATATCTATCTTTGCCTGTATGATTGCTTTAGAAATAAGATTTGATCTATAACTAAATTCATGTCAAAGTAAACCATTTTACTTCAAATAAAGAACTTTTTCTACACCTTGTCAGAAGAGCTCAGAGACTGATGAAAAGCAAAAAATAAAATACTCTAATTTTAGAGTGTTGTATGAGCACTTTTATCATGATGTCAAGAATGGATATACAGCGTTTGGCAAAATGCCTTACTGTAAGTATGTGCAGAAATGGTTTAACACAAAGACAGTTCTTGTGTATTTTTTATTTTAGAAATTCTTTAGGAAATATTCACATTTTTAAATGTGTTGTATCAATTTAATAGACTTTAGAGATTACACTCAGTATAAGTTGTATAGCTTGCTTAAAATATCCACTGTTGGGACTTCCCTGGTGGTCCAGTGGTTAGGACACCATGCTCCCAATGCAGGGAGCGTGGGTTCAATCCCTGGTCAGGGAACTAAGATCCTGCAGGCCACATGACTCAGTCATAAAAAAAATCCACTGTTACAGATACCATTTAAATACTTTACAATGACAGAATATAGGAATATAATTTGAATAGAAACTGTAATGATGCTAAAATAATTAATAACAGCAAACTTTAGAGGCCAAGAAGATGCATTAAGTAAACACAGACCCATACACGTATACTGTAACATATTCTTTTGTTCTTCCTTTTTGGATAAAAAAGGTGAATAATCATAAAGGCATTACTGCCACTCAAACATTTCATCATTGTATTGAAAATAAAAAACACTTCCTTAAGTGGAATTGAGCCCTGGAACAAAATCTGGTTAGATTATAGCACGACCTTTTACCTGATTGTGAAAACTGTTCTATTATAGGCCCACTAACTATGTTCAATCTTACTGCTGGTATCATCAGCAAGAAAATAAAGGATGAAGATTATGTTGAATTGTTTAGCTTTAAATCATACTAGAAGAAATAACTTAAGAAATTATAGTCACAGAGAAGTATAGTTAAGAGAGCAGTAAAATGAATTTACTAACAGTTAAAGTCATCATCTTTGGTAAAGAAAATCCATATATACAGAAATGGCTCAAAATCAAGAGTCTTTCATCAATATATCTTTTAACATGTAGTGCTGGCTACACCAGACAGTTATGAAACAAAAGTTTTGAGGTAAGCCAGGAGCTGTTTTACTGTCTACTTTTCAGGAATTAAAAAAAAAAAATCAAAAACTTAAAAAAACACAAGTTTTAAAAAGCAAAATGCAGAGGGAGGAAGCAGTGACAGATATTTTTTTTGGTAATTATGCTTTTTTTTTTTTTTTTAAATTTTTAGAACTTGTCCGTTTTTACTGTGGGTCGGCTGTTGATATTTCATCAGAATAACCATTTCTTTGCTGGGTTCAGGTGACAGAGGAAGAGCCACACCCTCAAAACACACACAAAACAAAACCACAGAATCATCTTTAACCTAACTTTTTATACAATGTCTCAGTTTCCCGTAACTTTGCACACAAGCTTCTGTGTTGAGTTGAATTGTACCTGCTTTTTGTATTTGGAGAGAGTGTGACTATTGAACTTGAAACCTTTTATTCCAGGCGTCTTGGTAGTTTCTGGTGGGATTAAGCGGGTGAGAGGGAAGAAGGGAGTTGGGGGGCTCCTACCCTTCAGAACATGAAGTTTCTCCCACTGCTCCTCTCCAGAGGTCTCCCAGTGCCAGACCTAAAGGTTTTTCCTACAGTGATCCTCTGATTATTTTTACTTCCCCTTGACCCCATATGTTTTAACAGAACTTTTAACAAACTGCACTTATTAAGAAATGTGTTTGCCCTGTTTTGTTTTGGTTTTGTTTTCAATAAATGACATGGCACCTCCTAGCAGGAAAAAAAAAAAAAAAAAGAGTCTTTCATCAATATATCTTTTAACATGTAGTGCTGGCTACACCAGACAGTTATGAAACAAAAGTTTTGAGGTAAGCCAGGATCCAAATTGGGTGACACAGTGGCTTGCCACACTCCTGTAAACAAGGAACAGGGTTCATGAAGGTGTACCTAATATACTTGCTGAAAATAGTCCAACACATGCAGACATAAAGATTAATTACCACATGTTAAAACTGTTAGCACAGGGGTGGTTTTAAAGTTTTGCTTTTTTTTAAACCTCTGCTAAAAATCAGCCATCTCTTCTCTGATTGATATTTAGAAATCTGGTTGGCCCTTACTGCTGCTGTAAAGAAGAACTCAACCATCATTAGGCCCACACTGCTCATAATCATGCTTTCTGTTTATTACCTCCCAATCCTAGGAGAGGGTAAAGTGTCTGCCTGCAGTGCTGGAGACCTGGGTTCGATCCCTGGGTCGGGAAGACCCCCTGGGGAAGGAAATGGCAACCCACTCCAGTATTCTAGTCTGGTAAATTCCACGGAGAGAGGAGCCTGGCGCTCCAGTCCACGGGGTCATAGTGTCAGACACAGCTGAGTGACTGAGCACGCACACGCGCACACACACACACAACCCTAAGAGAAGCAGGGTCCTAATAAAATAGCCCACCTTCCAAAACAGGACTTGCCCAGACAGATTTTATTGACACTTAACTCCTTGTAATGCCAGATAAAAAAGAGTTTGCAACACTTTCCAAGACTCAGAGATGTAGTTCACCATAGC